AATACATGCTCATTTGCCCGGTCTGGTGGCTCAATTGGTTGGAGAGAAAGAAACATCAATGTGAGAGAGAAACACTGATGGGTTGCCTCCTGTACACTCCCCGACCTAGAATTGAACCTGCAACTTTTTGGTACATGGGACCATGCTCCAACCAATTGAGCCACCTGACCAGGGCCTATGTGCAATGTTTTTTAAAAAATAGCTTGGGCCCTATCTTCTTCCAAGATTTTGTTAAGTATCCTTAATTAGGGTTCATGTCCCACATGGAAGAGTACCTGTTGTGTCCAGGTTGTTTGCTTAGTTCTATATAATAAAAAGTTAACATGCAAATCTGAACAGCAGAACGACCAGTCATTATGATACATACTGACCACCAGGGGGCAGATGCTCAACACAGGAGCTTCCCCTGGTGGTCAGTGTGCTTCCACAGTGGGAGCACCACTCAGCCAGAAGCCGGGCTCACAGCAGCAGTGATGGCAGGAGCCTCTCCTGCCTCTACAGCAGTGCTAAGGATGTCCGACTGATGGCTTAGGCCAGGGGTGGGCAAACTTTTTGACTCGAGGGCCACAATGGGTTCTTAAACTGGACCGGAGGGCCGGAACAAAAGCATGGATGGAGTGTTTGTGTGAACTAATATAAATTCAAAGTAAACATCATTACATAAAAGGGTACAGTCTTTTTTTTTTTTTAGTTTTATTCATTTCAAACGGGCCGGATTCGGCCCGCGGGCCGTAGTTTGCCCATGGCTGGCTTAGGCCCACTCCCCGCCTAAGCCGTCAGTCAGACATCCCCCGAGGGCTCCTGGATTGCGAGAGGGTGCAGGCCAGGCTGAGGGGACACCCCCCCCCCCTCGAGTGAATGAATTTCGTGCACTGGGCCTTTAGTTTACTATATAATCCTGAAGCTTTTACTTTCATTAAAGAGAGTTAGCTCTGTTTCAACTTTGCCCATATCACATTTTGTTGTTGTTACTGTTTCCACTATTCCCTGGTCAGAAACCAGGGAAGATAAACATATCCATTCAGTTTTCTTCTCTCCAGATTTGTTATTAGTGAGAATTTTCAGGATTTTGCTTGTATAAAGTTACATACTAAGCTTATAGTTAGGATTTGTCCTCAGGTATCTCTGACTCCCAAACTTATCGTCATACTCACTAAGTGCTTGTAGACTGAATGCTTATGTTCTTTTCCAGGCAAATTTGCCTTCATTAAGTAATTTTACTATATATTTGTTTATAGATAACATTCTTGTTTTTTTCTTTCTTTCTAGCAATGGGATTTGACCGATATAAAATGGTGGTGCAAGTAGTTATTGGAGAACAAAGAGGTGAAGGAGTATTGTGAGTAATTGGTTTTTCCTTATTTTTTACAAATATTTTTATTTATTTCAGAGAGGAAGAGAGAGATAGAAACATCAATGATGAGAGGGAATCATTGATTGGCTGCCTCCTGCACGTTGGGCTGAGCCTGCAGCCCTGGCATGTGCCCTTGACTGGAATTGAACCTGGGACTCTTATGTCCACAGGCCGACGCTCTATCCACTGAGCCAAACCAGCTAGGGCATTGTTTTTCCTTCTTGATTTCATTCTTATGTTTCTTATGAGGTATTCATCCTCTTCACAATTCAGTATGATTGTTTTGCAAGTGAGAGTAAAGGACAGTATAACAAAATGCAGCTGTGAACCCAAGAGATCCTGGTTCTGAACAGTGAGGTTGACAGTTTGGGTGAGCTTCATTGGGTAATTCACTTTTCATAGTATCTGTAGGCTGATAAGTGTTTTAGGGTTTATGTATATACCAGAGGCCCGGTGCACGAATTTGTGCATGGGTGGGGTCTGGCCAGCCCACCCCAATCGGGGCCGATCAGGGCCGGCTGGTTGGGGGGAAGGTCTGTGGGAGGTTGGCCCACCCCCATTGGGCCGGTTGGCAGCCTCAGTGCATGTCATAGTGACCGTCATTTCGGTCGTTCTGGTGGTCCTGTCACTTAGCTTTTATATATATAAATGTTCTCAAAGAAAGTATGAGACTATATATATATATATATATATATATATATATATATATATATATATATATATATATATATATATATATATATATATATCCACACATATATCTATATATACAATTTGTGCTCCTACCATTATCCAAAATATATTTCTTTAAAATTGTCTGAGACCTCCATATTAGCAAATATAAAAGCTCTCTCATAGCTCGTGTGTGTGTCTGGGCCTTCTGTTTCTGAAAATACACTCTGGTTTATATTGCCCTTGATGTCACGTGTCTAACTTGTTTCTCTCCTGTTTCTCTAAACAGAATAATCTCTTTTCTTCACTGGGTGCCTCTTTATTCCCTCTATCCCCAACTATGATGTTTTCTTTAAGGCTCGGTTCATTATTCTTCCTCTCTTTTTATATGCTTTCCTCAATAGAGCATCATTCATTCTCATGACCTCAAACTGTTATTTTTGTTGAGGGGTGTTACAAAAAAGTTATTTTCTTGGTCTTTTCCCAAGCAAAGGTGTAATCTTCTGTGTTTCCTTTTGAAACAGTTGCCTAGAATAATACCCCATAAAAAAAAAA